GATTTTTAAATCACCAAATATCAGTATCGATCCTAAAAGTCTTAAAAGGCTCTGGTTGGCAGGTGAAATGGGTTGGAAAGAGGCTGCTGCACCAAAGGCCTCCTTGTAATCGCTTTGATTGCTAGCAGATTGCAGCGGCTGACAATAGTTTGCATGGAAGACACCGACTGTTAATCTCTGAGCTGCAGTGAAACTTGCAGAGAACATCTGCTTTTAGAGTAAAAGCTGTGCCTTACCACTGCAACCAACATAACTGGTCAGTGGGATATAATCAAGCTGATAAAAACCTTGTCAGACTGAACACTTAAGTTGGAGTAAGAGAAGCCAGATGAGAAAGACGGAGATCCTGGGCGTGCTTAACTTGCTTTGTAGTGCCGGCTTTAGATTAGGAGGAGACTCCCCAGTCTGGGCGAGGCACACTGGGGCCTAACAGGATCGAGGTAACCGTCTCCGGACTCAAGAACATTTTAAAAAAACAGCTCAGGATGAATCAATTGTAAAATTCTCAGCCGATACTCAGATTTTAAACTTTGAATTATGAGTTTGACGACACTAAGCTTTTTGTTTTGTTGTGAAATCTTCTGCATAAAAATGACCTATTTTAAAGCCATGTAGCTCTTTATTACATACTTTTGGAATATTTAGCAGAACTGATGTAACAAACCAGATGTCACTTAATTTTCAGTTTAATATCAGCTAAAATATTTATGCATCTCTGTTGCAAACCTAAAACAGTCTATTAAAGCTTGTAGGAGAATAAATGTTATCCAAAAATTATTTCACAATGGAAACAGACACCCGAGGGCTTTCTGCCTTTCTAATATCTACCCAGGACCCATTGTTCATCCAGATGTGAGGGAAAGATTAGCAAACCCTGAAAAACACCAGTCACTTTTTTCTGACCCCTAAAATCCCTTTACACGCACAACACATATGTGCACGCACACACACAAACACAGTCACTCTTTCCTCCAATACAAACCTCTGATCTCAGCAGAAAAGCTCGTCCCTGAATGGGCAAACATTTTTTGCAGAGGCTTCTTTAATGTTGTTTGTAAATGCATTTAAAGGAGTTAATAATCAAGAATACTTGCTCATCTGGTTCAAGCACTGGTCACTGGCATTGCTGCATATTTGTACAAGTTAAAACACGCTTAAGTAGTGTATTATATACTTTCAATGTGTGAGTTTTTGATGGATAAAGGCTTGTTAACTTGGCCGTGCAGCTAATTTGGACCGAGCTCACAAACAAACAAACCTGAAACTCACCTGAAACCTGAAAAATTGGCTCCACAGCAAACAAGTTTCAACTCAGTGGGGCTTTTTTTTTTTTTTAGCTTCATGATGTGGCCTCACTGGTAATTTTGGTAAGAAATCTCATTTGTGATTTACTGACCCACATACAGATGGCCGTCAGACTCCTGCCAGCCCAGTCCATCACGTTGAAAAGGAGGAAACATGACACGGGGATGAAGTACTTTTCTGAAAAGAGATCAAAACAAACCAACTGTAGTCAAGAGCAACAAGACTGCAGAGATGCTTTCCTCAAATAAAAATAAACAGGAATCCATTAAACCTCTGCTGGTTTAAGTGGAGGAGTTGAAGTTTGCTTTCACTTTTACGGAGGGACCAAAGTAATCCAGAGAACACCAAAGTAATTTCTAAAACTGATCTGGTGACACTTTAAACCTTATAGAAAAATGATGTTTAAATGGAAGTAATTTCTGGAATTTTACAGGCTGCTCTGGAGTTCATAAATGAAGTCTCACCCATAATATTTTCAGATGAAACTATGCAGATGAGCACAAATGTCAGTACATGTCATGTCAGTACTGTACAACACTTAAATCTGAATTCTGGATATTTTCCACAGCACTGCTGGAAACACTGATTTCTAAAAACAGCTCATGTGTGAAAACAGAGAAAATGAGCAGCAATTTCATAGCACGTTGAACTAAAAGCCTGTCAAAACACAGACACTTGGAATCCACATCAACCAGCAGGCACCCCCTAGTTTTTAAAATCATAAATAGTAAAGTTGTGCCAATATTTTTAAACCCTACAACTTTCCTGCCCTTTAAAAGCAAGACGACACAACTGTGTCCTAATTATTTTACAACTAAACTTACCGAGCTTCTAAACAATACTTTTCATTGAAATTAAAAAAAAAATTGGTTGGGTGGTGAGGGACACGGGGTCTTTTGGTTGGGAGATAGGACCTGATCAGTTTTTGTAATCTTCTTGTCATGATTATTTCATTTTTATAAGAACTAGAAGGCGAATGAAATTCAATAACTTGTCCAGGCCTTAAAAATTCCCCATATTATGATTGAAGGTTAATGGGTAAGCAAATGATTCCCAGTTCAATCCTGGAAGGAGACAAATCCTTCTGGGGAAGCGTGTCCAACAAAAAATCCACTGTAACGACCACTTTCAGAGAAGCAGGTGAGAGAAGTTTCCATTACTGCTGGAGTTTAGGAGTTAAAGATTCTTAGCAGTCATCCAACTCCAATATGAGATTTTCAGAATTCCTGGCTCATTGATTACTGTAACAGTAACTGTTTGTATGAAAGGGACCTGCAGACTCACCCCAGGCACTTTCACCAGCAACTGTCGACTTGACATCGACGGTTACGGCTGGAAAAACTCCAATGGTGACAGTGAAGATGAAGCACACAGACAGAGCCATCACCCAAATCTGATTAGGGAGAACAAGAAGAGCTTTATCAATATTATGTAACCAGTCTGTCACACAGGTAGAAAATGCTTGCATGGAACAGATAATGTCTGACTTGTAATGACATTGCTGGCTGCACAGCTTCAGTAGTAACTAGTTAATGTGATAGAAGCTTCTGCAACTCAATACACGATATTTATGATTTGAAAAAAAAAGACTCAAAAGTTTTGCCGGTAACAAAACCGGAGTTTCTGCCTTATGTCTTAAAGTTCTCACCTGCTTGAAGATGTTAAACACAGACGAGGTGGGTTTGGTCTCATCTTCCATGAGATTCACCACCGGCCGCTTTTCAGCTTCACTTTCTGAGGGGAAAAAAACCCCCAAACTATTTATTGGTCAAGCAGCACCTGGAGTTTAGAGCATCATTACTATATTTGAGTGGGTGTACACACAAGATCCCCATTGTTACATCTTATAATGACAAAAGGGTTCCCATTAGGTACTCCTACTCACTATAAAATTACACTGACTCAAGAAAATAATCTTTCATATCAAAGCAAACGCAGTAAGAACTCCCGAAACAAGATGACTTCCCATTTATTTTCTCTAAAACCTCCAGAGCTGCAGGAATCCACCTCCACCGTGGATTCCTGCAGCTCTGTTCACCCGCTTTAATGCTAATCATGCAGCCTCATCATCATACGTGCAGCTGTGCAGAAGTGAGGAGGGAGTTTATTTTCACTTCTAGCATTAAAAAGTGGGCAAAGGTAGGCACACATCAGCTGAATGTTTAAAGGTTTTAAAGGTTTTCAGCTGATAAGCATCATTTGCCTGGCTCTTTATAAAGAAGCGAAAACAGAGCAGTTTTCTAAACTGTCTTTATGTGTTTAAACAGTTAACAGGAAGTTGGGGTGGGGGGTGAGGGGGCTCTTAGGAATAGTGGCTGCCACGCCTGTAATTACACTGGCAGAAAGACTTGTATGAAGCAAGCAGATTGAAGCCTTGGATGGAGATAAAGCCCTCCAGTCTGAATCCCATTTACCAGTCACATGCAATCTTTTTAAATAATGTCTTTGTCTAATCTAACAAGAGAAACAAAAGTAGAATTTCCAAAGGGTTTCATCGTAGGAAACAGGCGAGGATGCAGCTTACTGAGTGCTGCCAACAGCACACGTGAGCTACAGATTGCACTTAATAGAAAACAGGTTTGTGGAATCTGCAGGTTTTGAGATTCTGGATCAGTTTAGATTTCAGCAGAATGTTGTTAAAACCGAGAACAAAACACAGAGTGCAGCAAAAGTCACAATGACACGGGAAAGAACTACCGTTTAGATCAGCGGTCCCCAACCCCCGGGCCTCGGACCGGTACCGGTCCGTGAGTCGTTTGGTACCAGGCCGCGAGAGTTGAGGCTCAGGTGTGAAATGTATGGTTTTTAGGGTTTTTATCGGTTTTCAGCGTTATTTTGTTATCGTTTTTATCATTAACTCTGTTTTCCTGGGTCTTTTCACGTGTGTTATGAATAAATCTTCTTTTTTTCGGTACCGGTACTAGTTTTATTTTGTTGTATTTATCTGCGACACCTTAAAGGCCGGTCCGTGAAAATATTGTCGGGCATAAACCGGTCCGTGGTGCAAAAAAGGTTGGAGACCGCTGGTTAAGATGGAAAAATACAAAACAGATGACAGAATTTCGAGAATCTGATCTAGGAGGGTACACATGTTGAACTTTATTGCTCTCCATGTGATGTCAGTTCTTGAGAATTTGCACAACCAGAATCAAAGTCTGAGTTACAACAGCGTTATGCTTTTTGCATCTGTAACATCCAAGAGGCAGAAATTTGTGACTGCGCAGCCTCTACGGTACAAGCGGACTATAACGTAGCATAACATGAAAAGTTGTGTCCTAGCTTTAACCCCCTGACTAAAACATCTGCATTAGCTTCATTGCTGCTTCTTTTTTGCACACGTCTAAAAGTTTCACACTGTTGTCTTTTTTTATAATGAGCAGGCCGGTAAGCACCTTTTTTGAGCAAGTCCATCTTGTTCTCCTCATCGGCTGATGGTGCAGATCTACTGGTCTCCATGTAGTACTGGAAGAACTCCTGTTAACAAAAACCATAATTAAGTGATTCCACTAAACCAGCAGGACAAAGATAAGCAGCTTGTTCCCAGAGAAACTGAATTTTATTTGCCATCAATCAAAATGGCTCAAAGACATTTCACTCAAGTTTGCGAGTGTTTTCCAAAAAAGAATAAATAAATAAATGTGACACATTTGGCCTTTTCAAACAAATACCTTGTGAATAAAAAGCACTAGAAAGGAAGAAAACCAGGAAAAAAATATAAGTTCTATTTATAGATTGAGGCCTTACCATCTTGGGGAGAATGAGGTAGGACATTATAGCCAGAAGAATCACAATACAGGCTGTGATGAAGTAACCAAAAGCACTGTCCTGCAGTTCTGACCCACCTGAAGACAATCACACAGAGTCATTAGTGTGTTTTGTTATTATTGGATAATTTCATGAAAAATGAATCAGTTCCTCCCTCCCAAGTCCCTCAGAATCAGCTGATTTATTTCTCTAATAACTTAAGAACACTTAATAAAGCCATAGAAACTTTTACATTCTCGTTATGAACATTGTCAGAGTTACAGACCCCTGAAGTCCACAAGGGCTGAAATCTTGTGCCTTTAATTTCACATCATTTTTCCAGCCCTCATACCTTCTAAAGGACAGGACAGAGTCAGGGGACATTAATAGGGCTGAAGAACACATTTACTCACTCAAGCATCACAGACCGAAGCCACTGGTACCGTGGCTTCACAAGTGCTTTACTCTGTCAATCGCCACGTTGGGGGAGGAGCATGAACTGTGGGGTAAATTGACCCTTGATAGGGTACCGCAAAGCAAACTGGTTTCGGGTGAAGACAAAATGTGGTGATCCTGTATAAACTAAGTTACCTCACTTGGAGAAGGGATAAGGGGGAAACCACTCTGCAACCCTGGCCTTGTTGGCAAGTGCCTGCTCAAATAAACCACATGGGTTCACCACCTGCAAGAGGAGCTGTAGTGGTCTGGTGTTTTGTGGCAGTCTGTTTGTTTTTTGGGGGCAATTCAGTGTAGTAGACATCTTGGGGTAAGTTACAGAAGATAAAAATTTTCGTGGCTTCATTTAAAGTTGATGAACATAAAAAGTAAGCCGATTCAGAGGAGGGTCAGAACTTTTTCAGAATATAAGAAATGACCCCCGTATATTGTTTAATCCCAGAGTTGTTTTGTGTGAGACTTACTGGCCAGAGCGCAGATCATGGAGAAGGCAGCGAAGGTGCCGGCCAGCCCCTGTCCGCTCATGATGGGAGTGGTGTAAGAGGCAGGTAGAATCCCAGCCAGCCCGAACAGACTGCTCTGAAGAATCGCCCCAAACGCTGGAGAGGGGTGAAAAAAAGAGAAAAGCACATTTGAGGAATTACAGAGTGACTGTGACACAGAAACACACAAAAAATGATCCACATCTACACAGTTATAGCCAACAAGCATGTCAGAGAGAAACAACATCCTTCTATCATTTTAATTGTCTCCCCTAAAAAAGGTTTTTTGTCAGTACAGACTTTCCAGACAAATTCCTTCCACAATACAACATGTTACAAACGAGTTAGTAGCTGCACAAATCTCGAAACGTGTGAAACTGAGAGGAATGTGCCGACGCAGATATCAAAGCCTCAAAGTCACCGTGTCCTCCCCTCTAAAGCAAACACGATGGGCTGTTCCACATGCGAATCTGGGGGTCAGGACTGGCCCACTGGGGATAAGGAGGGGGGTAAGTTTATTCCTGCTGCTCTGTGACTTATTGTAAACAAGCAAACACTGTGAGAGCGCAGCTTGTGTATCTTTCTCTGTGTGAATTTTCCCAACATGTTCAGGGGACGATTTTTATCAAAGAAAGATCCACAGAAATAATCAGTTATACGACTTCAACATGGAAATAAGGCCATGAATTAAATTCTTATTCTAATACAGATATCTTCATGAAGCTTATAATTGTTAGTTTTCTGTTTCTGGGCTCTTAAATTTATGATTTTGTTGCTAATGCAGGATAATTCTTTGCAGATGTGCAGCAAGCTGTGTATCTTTATTTGCCTTTGGCGTGTGCAGAAATCAGAAAACTCTCTCCCCACATTTTCTGTTTAACTGAACTACTTCTGTGTCATTTTTCCCCTTTTTGTACCCCTGGTGTGTGATTTTAAATGAATTTGTTGGTCACATCCTCATGTTTTGGCTGCTGTACCCCCCTTACCCCCAGATCCCCATTCTTGTTGTTGCTATTTAGATGTAGTTTGAATCAACATACAGTTTTCAAACTTCCGTCATCTGACAAAGAGGTCATCTAAATCAGCGGTCTCCAACCTTTTTTCCGCCACGGACCGGTTTATGCCCGACAATATTTTCACGGACCGGCCTTTAAGGTGTCGCGGATAAATACAACAAAATAAAACTAGTACCGGTACCGAAAAAAAGAAGATTTATTCATAACACACGTGAAAAGACCCAGGAAAACCGAGTTAACGATAAAAACTATAACAAAATAACGCTGAAAACCCTGAAAACTATACATTTCACACCCGAGCCTCAACTCTCGTGGCCCGCTACCAAAAGACTCCGGTCCGTGGCCCGGGGACCGCTGATCTAAATAACTGTGGCTGTGGATAATTAATGAAATTGAATGTCCTCTGTACCAATGTTTAAATTTTAATCAGTTTGTCACCTGAAAAAGTTGATTTTCTGGCTCATTTTGATTTGAGTGACGGTGAAATGACTATTTTTTTCTTTTTAAATTCTACTTGTGGTTTTTGGTTTTTCCTTGTATTACATTATTGACAATGACGAATCTTCACCAGTAGTTCTATGGCCTCGAGCAAGCCTTAGAGCGTTGCATTGAGACTGACACAAATCAGGGATTTTGGGGGTGAACAGGGACACTAATATGAGCGGACAGACGAAATGTTTTGGGACTGAAAAGTGGTGTGATCCCAGAAGCTTGCTGAGGTAATTTGTCCTTGTTTTTGTCTTTTGAATCTAGATTGAATCAATATATGCTTTTTTTATTCCTCCATCAGCTGGCAAAGAGGTCATGTAATTGACTGGATGTGGACATTTAATGGATCCTGACTGTCCTCTGCACCACTTACAGGACACGAAGCTGAACATTTATCTAACATCCATTTCAACTCCACTGCCCCAAGCAGAGATGTAGAAAAACTTCATGCCACACTACCTGCACTCATTTTAAGCTCTCTATTGTTTCTTTTTATCTAGTATTATTTAAATTTAGATTTACTGAATTACATTTTTCACTTTATTCTTCTTCAACAAAGTCATTTAACATTTTCTCCACATTTTACAAACAAAAAGTTTACATGGCCTACAGGTGAATGCACACAATCAAAGCACCAACACTGCTCTTGTTATCAAGTAGTAGTTTAGGCTTTTTTCATTTTGATCTCCCACAGATTTCTTTTAAATACACTGAAGTTTTCTTTCTGAGTAACAGACTTTTACTGAAGAACTGTGCATTTTTTTAAGCACTAGACACTCACAGTTGATGCAGACAATTTTGACCATGGTCAGGACAAAGAAGGGAAGAGGAGCCAGTTCTACTTTAACAACCACCGCTGTCACCAGAAAAACCACCAGGATGACCGTCAAGCTGCCCGAGATTCTCAATTTCTGAGGAATCCTGAAACAAAGAAAAAACACATTTAAAAACGCCCATACTGAAAGCAGACAAGCGTCACTCAGTTACTGCTCTTCAAAGAAATGCAAATGTCAAGAAAGCGGAAGCGCTTGAGTCAGTTGCAGTGACTAAGCCCTTTTTTTTTCCATCTTAAGCTCATTTTTGTGTCTTTCTGAAAGAACAGCAGTACACAGAAATGACACATAAAGCAAAAACTAAGTGGTAAAAATGCTGAGAAATGAAACCGAGGAAGAGAGGGAGACAGGGAAACCAAAGTACAGCAAACCAGGAAGAGGTAAAGAAGATACATGACGTAGGGAACATAAATAACATTCCTGAGTAAGCAGTGCAGGAGAAGGGTTCATTGTGGTCAAGGGCCACCCGGGATTTTTCTCAATCCTACTCTAATTAAACCAAACACACTAAGCATAAGCTCATACAACAGGATCACGTTACTCACAGTGGCACGGGGTGACTGAAGGTTAAGGGCAGGAAAAGTTTACACTGTCTTGTGTACACAATCTTATCCAAATTAATTAAAAAAAAAACAGCTATGGTAAAATTACTTCAGATTACAGAAAAATATGGTGTATAACTGAGTTATTACACCAGGGGATTTATATTATACGGAACTTGTGTAAGTAATGAAGATGATTAGAAATTAGAGGAATTAAAAGTTTGAGCCTGATTGATCACATGTGGAGGTCTCCTAATGTACTTGCTCCATTGAGGCTAACTGTTTAGACAGCTTGCCTTGTGAGTGATTGGTTACTGTCGTTATGACGATTGTATCAGCAATCTTATGTTCCCAGAGATTAGACATAAGCGCTGTGAACCACTGAAGAAAAATGTAAATTCTGCCTCAGAAAAATGCTGTATTAAATATATTAGCTACTGGTGTACTCTCTGGAGATTGTCAATATTTATAACTATTAAAAACATTTTTTTTTAAAAAGGGTTCATCACAATTAAAGCAAAGGGGCAAAAATGTTTGAAAAACATGAAATATACTAATTAAAAATGTCTCAGTGCCATAAAATGAGACAAAAGATACTAAACTGAAACCGAAATCTAGTGCTGTTATTTCATTATAATGCAATACTGTGGCTGAGGTGGTTCAGGCATCTGACAAGGATGCCTCCTGGGTGAGGTGTTCCGGGCATGTCCCACCGGGAGGAGGCCCCGGGGCAGACCCAGGACACGCTGGAGAGATTATATCTCTCGGCTGGCCTGGGAACGCCTTGGTGTTCCCCCGGATAAGCTGGAGGAGGTGGCTGGGGAGAGGGAGGTCTGGGCCTCTCTGCTTAGGCTGCTGCCCCCGCGACCCGGCCTCGGATAAAGCGGATGAAGATGGATGGATGGATGGATGGCAATACTGTGGCCACTTAACCCCAACTCGTGTTCCCTCAGATCTTTTCTCACTTCTTGCTTCAGTAGAAATATTTACAGTTTGCCTTTTAATGAGTCGAGCTTTTTATTTAGACTGACGGTAGTTCGATACCTTTGGTGTATGAAGGAGTTGAGACAGGTGAAGATGAGCAGAGGCACCATGGCGCACAGCGTCATCACGTTGTTGAACTTGGACTCCAGCACATTGCGAGAGTCTCCGGCCGTTACGTTGGCCGTCTGATTGGAGGAGTGCACAGTGGGGACGTCCTTCAGTCTGCTGGTGAAGTACTGAAGAAAACAAAGGGAAGAACACACATTTACCACAAGTGTTCTCCTGCAATTCATCATTCACATGAATGTAATTTACAGAAAAAACTGAACTATGGGTGCACTGTTTATTGTAGGACTCCTGAAACAGACTGAAGGTAAAATTTTGAGTCAAACTAAGCTGAATAAACATGTTTTTTTACACTCAAACAGTTTCCTGATGGTGTCAAGCAGAGCTGAGCAATCTCATTTTAATTTCAACTGAAACCTTGATGTGTGACAGCCACTAACATTAAGTCTATTAAAAAAAGAAGGGTACACCAGCTTATGTTTTGCCAACCTTCCCATTAGTGAAGCCTAAGCTTTCAAAGAACTACTTGTTAACCACAAAAGGCACCACCAGGGCTCTTCCTTTTATTTGCATCTGTCCTGATCTAGAGATAAACCACATTTGCCTGCAGACGCTCTCGCAGTTACAAGATTAAAATTGTACTTTACCATTGTTGCCGTCATGAAGAAATTCCATGGCAAGAGGGTTCCCAAGCCCAGGATAAAGAAAATGAGCCATACTGAATTGTATCTGGGAAAGAAGCAAAAGGAAGTTCGCATTAAGGCACATCAATCAAGCCATTCATCTTAGTATCAACAAACAAAACGCAACAATATATACACTGGGACTCAACCAAATTTCAGTCAGAGAATATTAATGCGAAGATAAAACCCAACAAAGGCACAGCTTAAATCGTTGAAAAATTTTCCTCTTACTTGTCCCGAGGCGCATTGATGGCCGTCATGGTTCTCGATGGACAATCTTGGGGTTCGTGTTCAGTGTTGGATTAGTGCAGCACCAGGTCTGCAATGTGCAGATGACAAATGGAAGGTTACACAAGTAAAATTCTCCGACGTGTTATTATCAGCAACAATTTGTTTCTTTCTGTATTTACATATTCACATGTAATAGAGTGAGCACCGAGTCTTGTGGATGCCTCAATATCCTCCACTTTCTTTCACACGATGCATTGTTTAACCTGGTTAAAATGTATACATTTCTCACCTCTCCTCTCAACTGCGCTTGCAGCTTTGTTATACATTTTAGAAGCAATGCATAGCCTGCGATATCAAGTATTGACACGTGTTTTTTTTCCACTGGTAACTTTATTTATATACTGGTTAAACTCGTCCTGTAAATGAATTGCCTTACAAACTCGGAGTAGGATGAGCTATTTCTAAAAGAAACAATTGGAGCTTCTGCCAGGAGGAGGTCAGAACAAGCTGGCACAAGCAGGCCAACAGCTACTCACTCCCAACTAGGGCACTAACTAAAAGAGCAACTGAGCTTATTACGCTGCTGCTTCATTTTTTGGATTCTTCACCTACTCCACGTGACGACCTTTTTATAGTTCAGAAACCCCCGTTTTTAGTTTCCAAACAACCTCAGACTGAAAATCTAATTAATACACAAATTTCAATAAAAGCTTAATTTCATTTTCTAATTTATGCAACGTGAACAACCCCTCAGTCATTCCATTGTGTTTACAACACAAACTAACCGCAGCAGCAAAGAGCAGCTTAACACTTCGGCAACAATAAGCCAGAGGCATCTTCCCACAAAGTTTTAAAATTCAAAAGTTCACAGCACAACTCCTCTTAAACACAACAAGTACAGGAACAAACTGCAAATAAACTTACTCTGAGAGGCGTTCAAACACAGACGGAGGCTCTCGCTTTCCACTGATCAGATCACCAAAGGGCTGAATGAGCTCTGCATGCCTCGCTTATACTATACAGATGTTTTGTCTTGTGACCAGCCCCCTTTGCATCTAAGTGCCCATCCCTCCTTCTTCCCTTTACCTCGAACATCTTGTTCTCCTGGAGCCCTTCCTACACATTTTTACATTCGGAGCACACAATACTCTTGTCATACAGACTTCTACCTTACATAGCCGAGCAAAACCAAAAAACCCCAAAAAGAGTGATTAATTAAATCAATCCACCAAGTGTCCCCTCTGCGTGATCCTATTTTCCCAATCTATCCATCCGCATGTTCCCATTTTATCCTTCCCTTTCATCCCCATGTGTCCTACTGTCTGGTAATTTCTCATCTCATTTCATCCACTTTTCCTCCTCAGCAGTTCTTTTATTATCAAGTTCACATTTTCTTGACCTGCTCCATCTATCACTTCCCTATCCCAATCCACTTTGCTCTCACTGCCTCTTATTGACTTATCCAGAACTATTTGTGCTCCCCCAACTCCTTTCAAACCTTTCTGTCTTGAATCTGATGGAAGACATGTGCTCAGATATCTGTGTGACACGCATCCAAACAGAAAACTAGAAAACACTGACTCCTTTAAAAAAAAAAAACAAAGCAATTTGGCATCAAGTCAATCTAAACAACATAAAGCAAAGTTTAAGCTAACAAACTGCACTATTCAACTTTAATGGGCTCATTTTAAAACGGTATCCTGTGGACTTGACGTATTCACAGTGGGTGCACGTCTTTGCCTCTAACATGGAGGGGAAACCTTTTTCGGCGAGAGGAAGTGTTACCCTAATCTGTAAGGGGGGATCAGTATTTATAGTGAAATTAAACACTGATATGGTGGTATGGTTCACAGCCACACTCTCTTGCATCAAAAAGTCACTTTGTTTTGTTTGCATGAAATAGTGATTGGCTGATATGGCATTTTTATTATTAGTAGCAATCAGAAAGATTGATGAGCAATATTTGAAACAGATACAGTTTGGTAGTTTTGATTAAAAAGCCACACTTTAAAATGAAACTAAACTTTCCTTCAAATACCCGTGAAGGATCACACACACCAAAAGCGCAGTCGGATCTGCTTGCACAAGCCGTGCCTTGGTGTAGCACCGGCTGGTCGTGCACCTCTCCTATTCGACCCAGATGGATCAGCTGTGACAGCGAAAAGAAAAAAAAAAAAACACTGACAGGTCTGTGGTGATACCACAATCTCGCAAAACATGACCAATGTAGCAACTACAAGGGGGCCCATAAGCTGTTGGAAATAGCGTGAGCAAGGCCACTGCAAAATGTTGCACTTTTTGAGCATTAACGTAACCGGGAGGCAAGAAATGAAGATCACATGACTGCATTTGTAACATTTGCAGAGATGTTTACTTCAGTAACATATGCTAACCTAACACTGAATCCCAGCTCTGCTAGCTCACACTGCTGCAGACCACAGTGATGAGAGGTGAGCGATAAGTCAGCCGAATGATGTGCAGACTCTGCCTTCTCTCACGAGCAACAGGTGACTGGCTGATGAGCCAAATAACACAGTACATCATGGCAAAGGCTACAAGAGAGGACACAGCCGACAAGTATTTATTGTTGAAAATTCGGCATTAAATTCAATCTGCAATGAGCGATTGGTAGCAGGAGTATTTAATGCATATTTCAGTCTCCTGCCTTTCGTCAAGATAAAGATGACATGAAATCTGCACAGACGGAAAGACGAATAAGCTTGGCGAGCGAAGGATGTCCTCCTCTCACATAAGATAATTTGTGGAACTAGACACTCCTCAGAAAATAACGCTACAGTCATAAAGGGTCACCCCATCCCTTATCACATAAGAAATTGTCTGAAGCTGACGCAAAAAACAAAGAGCGTCTGTTTCCGTGGCTAAAACTGTTCTCTCTCACAGTCAGACAAACAATATGTAACTGTTTGACGAACAATCTGAGCTGCTAAAAGGTCAAAAAAAAGACAGTGAGATTTTCTGAGACACAAGTAAAAATAGTGAAATGTTTAAAATACTTCAAATTTAACCAAAATCATCAACAGAATGTGAAGTTAATCACATCAAGGAAACATATGTACACAATTTGACTTAGCTACAGTTGAATTAACTGCCTTTCCAAAGTGTACTAGAAGCTCTGTAGTGCTGCTGAGAGAACTTATGAATCCATGACCAGCCAGATCTAACTTGCTGGTCATGAGCGAGCTATGAGTGAGGACAGAGGGTCCTCTATATGCACTCACAGGTTAGCTAATCGTAGAAACATGGGACTGAACAAGCAGAATCCAACTGTGAGAAGCCCCTGTCAGTGAGACGGGTCTATATGGATTGTTAAGAGGGGCAGACGACCAGCAGACAAATACTGCAGCAACATCCTCTCACACTAGAAACAACCTTTGTTACATTTGTTACATTTGTTACACTGTGCGCAAAGTTATGGTTACAATTTGCAAACTAAACGATGTGATTAAGAGTTTCAGCTTTCCGTTAAACACAGACACTATTCTTTTAAAAAAATAGAGTTTGACCTTGCCCATTAAAGGTTTTCACCAACTTCTGAATATTTCCCTACTTCTTTTTTCTTCCTCCCATTTAATCAACTAGGAAATTATGTATCAAAGCACGATTCCTGTTACGAAGGTCTTTGGCAGCCAAGTTTGACCTTTCGGGAAATTATTTTCGTGTTTCTGTTCACATGTGCCCATCCTGTCTCTGTGCTGCCTTCCTCCAGGTACTCAGACTTCCTCCCACAATTGGAAGAGATGTTTGTTAGCTTAATTGATGAAAGTGAGTGTGTGTGTTTTGGTGTGTCTCAGTGTGATGGGTCTTACAATCTTTAATGGGATGAGCAGCTAAGAAAACAGATGTATGGATCCACAGGAGCACATATTGTCTGAGCTTTATTTATCCATGTTTCCCCACACCTTTGTCAAAACTGAGAGAACTGTGACTCAACATTTTGTAACTTTCCAAAACCACTAATCTGACATTGATGCTCTTTTCACACAGTGACTAACCGGCTGCAGCCGTGCAGAAGTAAGAAAGGACCAGGATTAAACTTCTTTCTCCTGAGAATCACACCACTAAATCAGTATTTTAAACGTCTCTCTTCTCTAGATAGACTGATATTTGTCAGTCTATCAGAGCAGCTTATTGAGGCTTGACGTTGACCATAGCCATACACTACAGTGTGCTTAAAATTCACCAGCTTTGCCTTGTCCCAGATTCCTGTAAAGTATGCCTCTCTCAACCGAACATGCCATCAAAACGAGCCAGTTGGCATAAGCTGCCTGGTGCTGAAATGGTGCCCAGCAAACACACACTCACTCACACAGGCACTTTGCAGTCTGTAGAGTGGTGCACTTTAACACTTTCAATGGCTAGCCTCTCAACGATGTCCAAGTCCAACAATCAGCACTCCAGTTAACAAAGATTTAACAGCACTGGAGGTAATTTATTGTTTCCCCCTCTAGGAGAAGTAGGGCAATTCAGACCAGCCCAAAAATTTATGTGAAAAATCTGGTCACGCCACAATGACGCTACAATAAAGTGGGCTTCTCATCCCGTATTCACCTCATTTTATACTTGATGAAATTGAAAAGCCATTTTTGTTCTTCTCACATTTGTGTCATTAATCCAACTACAAAGATTTTACACAGTGTAAAAATGATCTTCAAACTTAAATATTGCAAGACCCATGTTGTTTTTGTGTTGGAGCACAAACATAAATCCACAACCTCGTCACAACCTCAACCAAATCTGAGCCAAAGCTCATTTAGAGGAACGAATGAGAAAGCCCCTTAATTTAGATGTGACAGACAATCCCACCATCAGCAAAAGATTGATGTAACCACTGTGACGTCGCCCAGTGATTAGTGAAGCCTCAGTCTTAGCTGTCGCCATCTCAGTGTTCTGCAACCAGATGTAAGGAGCGACGGTCGGATGTGAGTTTTATGCTCTACATCAGCGGCCCCCAACCCCTGGTCGTTTGGTACCAGGCCGCGTGAGTTGAGGCTCGGGTGTGAAATTTATGGTTTTCAAGGGTTTTATCGTTAACTCGGTTTCCCTGGGTCTTTTCCCATGTTGTAGTTG